GAATTATTTCGAGTGTAATTGATTCCTTAGGAACCACAATCGCAAACATAATTTGAACTTTACCCGATTCGTGTGTAGTGATCGCTTTGCACTGATTCTATGAATTATACTAGTTGGGGCGAAGTTCCGATCATCTCAATTATCGAAAAAAAATAATAATAATAAAATAATTCTGTTAGTGATCTGGTGTTTCTTACTTTAAAAAATAAAAATGAAAAAAATAATAATAATAGTAATAATAATAATAATTATTATTATTATATGTCACATTGGCACCTACTAAGTAAAAGCTTTAATAAGTGGATTTTTCTCATCCTATTTTTTATGGCGTTTCATTTTACTGCAATGAGCCAAAGTCCAAAACCCCATTTTTTTAAATTTATTGTACAAATACAGTAGTGTCTCTCCAATCTGAATCACCTCAGTGAAATGAGAGTATAGGTAACGACACTCGGAAACGTCATGATTGTCACTATCAATTATGAGGGACGAAAGTTGAAATTGTCAATAGATTAGAGAGCGCGCTTAGAACTTCTTCCATGTATGAGAAGGTTGAGATCATTTTACCAATAAATTCACCTTCTATAAAGTCTAACATCTCAAATGATGTCCTAAGAATAAAGACAATAATAGTTTCAACTTCATCTCTAATCAAAGTGACCAAATCTCTCTTTTTTATTGAAAATATTATAGGTTGGAAGGATGTTTACAACACTTAGAAATTGGAATACAACTAAGCCACATGATTAAAGTTTAAAGATAGATATGACTCGAGGATTCTCGTCATTGGTAAATGTTACTATCTATACTATTTGATAATTATTCTAATTTTACAAATGTTAATTAAATAGTTCGCTATATGTGAGAATCATATTATTCGTCGGTTTAAATGTAACAGTTCATTCAATATTGTTTAACATTAGCATAATTCATGAGGTGGTCTTTGATGTAATAATAAAGTTATTCTATTGTAATTTCCATGTCACATGTTTAAAATTGAAAATAATTAATTTATACATAAATTGTGTACATATGACTTTCTCTAAACCTTACAAAAGAGAGTTTCACTTTTATAAAACTAACCCTTTTGACTCGCATGATTCATATTTTTATGATGACGATGTTCTTATGTTACGGGACGTGATCATCAGACTCTAATTTCTAATGAAATAATAATGTGTATTTAGAAAATGCAAATATCTGGTGCTTTAAATCTTCCTCATGGTGACTGAATCAAAAGGGTCTTGATTAAAATTGTTCATTAGTAATCAGTGCTACCAGTAATCTAATATTTTATCATCAACAAAAAATTATAATCAACTAATTAAATGTGCAAATAAACTAGATTGATTGAGTTACTTTTAACTGTTGAATTTTAGTTTCATTATTGCAATTTTTTATTTGACAATTCAGAAATGAAATTGAAATTCAACAGTTAAAAGTCACTTAATCAAGGTGGGAATTGATCATTAACATAATATTATTTTGAGTAGTGGAATCCAACCCAAACAAGTGAAAGTTAATAACATCTGTTGGACTTTAGTGGACAAGTTGACAACATCCTTGTTTTACACTATTATCATACGAGTTTTTGCACGTAATTAAATACGTAGTACTATAATAATTACTATAACAATCTTGAACTTTATTTGCATGTTTTTCCACTGCCATTTTACAATAAAGAATAATTAAATATTATGTGTTGGACCTTCATGGACAAGTTTTAAAATACGAATTAATTATATTATTAAATACAAGATATTACTTTAAGAGTAATTATTCAATTGTTATTCATTAAAACAAGATTAGCGTAGAAAGAGCTTCGACTCTTTACTGTTGTTTCTACTGTAAGGACGCGTGCGCACAGTTTCCAAAAGTTTAATTGCAATATCAACAAATCATGTAAGAAACTTGTACCACTTTATTTCCCCCAAAAATTAAAAAACAATACAGTATTTAAACTAGAAATGCTTTTAATAATTTTAAATTTTTTGTTATTTCTCCTTTTAAGAATATACAGTATATATATAAACTACGATAGTGCAACCTTGTTGGATTTCTAATCACGTTTCTATTATATATATATATATATATATATATATATATATATAATATTGTATTTTATTTCATTGCAATAAATAAATAGAGGGGTATTAATCACCGTCGCGGGGGCGATTGTGGAATCTCATTTCTTAATTTAAGGGTCGACACGTGTATTTTATTTTTCAATCTCAATTAGGAGGCTAGTATAATAATTATATATAATAAAAGAACCAAAAGGAAGTTAGCATAAAAATAGTAATTAATTATTAAAATTTTGTAAAAAATAAAATTTTAAAGTGAAATGGAGCCGTGAAGGTTTCCGAAATTTTTTAGTTAGGAGACTAGTAAAGTAATTATATATAATGGAAGACCCAAAAAGAAGTTAGCAAAAAAATAATAATTAATTATTGAAAAAAAAATACACAAGTGAATCTCTAAATTAGCGACTGAAATTTCACAATTGAAAAGACTGTGATTAACACTCCTCAAATAAATATACAACTGTACATACAATTCAGGAAAGACTTCTGGACTCGTTATTAAATGTAATTCCATGATATCTTTCCTTGTTTATGTTAACCAATTTGATCGGTTTCTGAAATCAATGATGAAAAGTCGATTCATCAGACGGTAGTGTGTTGAGGAGGACCCACTTAGTAAATCCGTATACACTAACATTCTCAAAGCATATTTCAAGTTTTAGGGAAATGAAGTAGCACAGCTGTTAATATCCGTACTTACCAAAAGCAACAACTGTTAAATCCCAAACGGTGGTCACGCTTCTCTCGTTTCACGTAAAAGGTCAAAAATATATATATATATACATATAAAATATATATATATATATATTTAAATTAAAGGTGTTTTACTGGAAACTGAAATCGACTGGACAAGTGAAAAGGGTACGATCCGGAGTTCCGGACCGACGCTCCCTCATGCAAGCGTGCACTGTGAACCTGTAATGGGCTTGTGGGCCTGTACAAAGTGTATATATATTTTGTATGATATATAGAAAGTGATTGGCTTGGTAAGTCAAATAGTAAAGAACAAATATTCAAATACCCGTAATAAATGGTAATCAAATTGATGAGTTGGGTGCTATATGCAGGACAATGCACTCGTGAAATCCCATTCTAATTTGAAAGTGGACGATCGAACAACATAAATTTTTTAAAAAGTTAAATAGAAACTCCAAGAATGAATCTCAAAATCCAATATAACAAAAGGACACTAAGAGCAATATTTACTTAATCATCGATAAATATGTCACTCTGATTTGGTTTAACTACAAAGATTTATATAATTTGTAATTATAAAATCAGAAAAGTACAATAAATAAGGATAATAATAATTTTTTAATTTATTTTTAATAATTTTAATCATCTTTTCCAATTTTCATATTTATCATTTTTTTATTTTGTAATTACATATGTGAATTTGTGATGATAACACATCAGCGATTAAGAGTAATGATAAATAGATAATTATTTTTCTTAATAATAAAAATAGTAATAAATCTTAAAATTAATTACTCTTAAAGTTAAAATATTTACTATTTGTCATCATCCATCACATCCGGGAATATTGGAATAATGTCGAAGAGGGAAAAAAAAAAGCTACGCGTAAAGCCTCCGTTTGTCCAGCTAGGTAGTGGCGCGCATCCTGTGACTTGGTTGCTGTTCCTGCCCTCCTTTTGAACCAGTTGGTGGTACTAAAACCAGTCCTGTACAAAATAACAAATAAAAATTCTAGCTGTTTATACAGCATTTTCAAATACTCTCACACATATTAATTATCTCACATCATTTATATGCACATGTAATGAAAAATGAAAGACCAAAGTGCAATGTATGTGAAAAGACCGTAATTATGTATTATGTAAATGTGATTTTTATTCGCATAAAATAGTCGGGATTTTTTTATGTGAAATTAATAATCTTTTAAGAGTCGGGATATTATGTTTTGGGTGATGTATTTATATTTAACAATTTTACATACTTCAGTCAAAATAATAGTGCGTTTAATACAAAATCCAAATAAATTATTAGATGATTTTCGACCATTCAACACTTGACTAACTAGTAATACATTTTTTTTTGTAATATATTAATACACTTTTGTAGGAATATTTTTTTCCATCGAAGAGTCTGAATTAAATTTATTTATCGAGTGTTAATAATCTAAGACCATCTAATAATTTTTTAAAAATTTTGATGTGAGTGGAGCTAATAATTTTTTCAAAATCCTGAAGTGAGTGAAGCTGATGATGCCATGCAATCGTAACGCATGCTGACATCATTATGATGTAAGTTGCTACCCACATCAAAACAGTTATATGGATTATTGTTACAAGTGGGACTTGTTCAGCATCGAATTTGGATGTGATAGAAGTATGATAAATGGGTGGGTGGATATTCAATGCTATTCAATAATTTAAGTTTTTTTGGTAAATGGGTAGGTGTCCACCCATTATAGTTGGTATCATAGTCAAACCCAATTCTTAATCCGGTATCATGTCAAGCGCCCAGCCCGGAAGGCGTCTGGGCCTGTCCTCCGGGTAGGAAAGGTGGCCTGACCGCAACGAACGAATTCAAATGAGAGATAATGTTACAAATGAGACTTATTCCACATCGAATGTAAATGAGAGTTGAAATGTATATAAATAAATAAGTATACAACACTACTTAATAACTTAAACGCATTCACCTAAGCCATAACATTAGGTTCAAAATTATTACTCTACCTTTTTGTTTCACAATTATGTCCAACACACTATTTTTTTACTATCCCAAATTTGTGTCAATTCAATAGGAATTTTTTTTTTTTTTTTTTTTAATATTTCTAATTTATATGTCTTATTTTAAAGTAATAAAGTACGTCAACTCGCAAGGCAATGTTTAAAAATTTATTAGTAATATTTAAAGAGAAACATTATTTTGTAGGGACTGAGGAGTAGTATTTCATTTGTCACATAGTAGTAGGAGTAATTACTTGACCACAGTTTGCAGGAGTAATTGACTTGTTTATCACCACCACAATGTCTCGAAATCATAAACCTCAGATTTGAATCCGGAAGTCTCCTCATTCCTTCTTCCCCTCTCTCTACTAGTATTAATATCCCATTTTCCCATCTCAAGCTTCCCCTTTTGAGTCCACTTTGATTTGATCAGTTGAAACCTCTTCAACTCTTTCATGCTTCAATACTACTCTAAACCCATTCCAAAATTTCAACCTTCAATCTCTAGCTCTTCATCTTCTTTCTTCTAACTGATAAACCTTGTGATGATGGCTCATAAGAATCTCCACGACCTACTACAAGAAGATCAAGAACCATTCCTTCTAAAAGACTACATTGCCGACAGACGTTGTCAGATCAACACACCCATTCCCAAAACCACATTACAACTCAAGAAACGCAAATCCATTGTTGAGACCTCAAACTCCAGGGGTAATATTCTCTGCAAACAAGCATGTTTTCTCTCTAATTTCCTAGACTCGCCGTCGCCGGACGTTAGAAAATCACCCTTTCTTGATTTCCCATCGCCGGCAAAAAGCCCTTATAGGACCCCAAATACTGTAATCCTTCACGTCCCTTCCAGAACTGCTGCTTTGCTTCTTGAAGCTGCAATGAGGATTCAGAAACAATCATCGTCTCCGAAACCCAAAACCCAGATTAAGAATTTGGGGTTTGGATTGCTGGGGTCGATTCTGAAGAGATTGAGTAGTCGGAATCGTACCCGGAAGCGAGAAATCGGTGGGGGTTGGGGTGGGGGTGGGGCTAGCGTTTCTATGTCTGGTGGCCGTAGAAAATCCACCGGAAAGAGCGAGAAAATGCAGGAAAGTGTGGTGGATGTGAATGAGAAAAGTGCTTCCGAGATGGGGCGTTCTTGTTATTGTAATCATAGTAGGCGTAATAGTACTGTTTGGTCTGAGAGCAATGAAGAGAAGTCTCTGGATTTGGAGAGTTCTAGTAGTTGCAGATCAGAGGACTCTGAAGAGTTGGAGTTTGTATGTCAAGACAGAGCAAATGCAGATTTTGATTCTTGTGAAAAGCGCTTCTGTTCAACCCCTTTCCTATTTTCTCTTCAGAAAAGCCCCTCTTCCGGTCACCGGACGCCGGATTTCTGCTCGCCGGCCACATCTCCGAGTCGCCACAAGATAGAGGTTCGTCTTTTTATTTATTTATTTATTTTTCGTCATTATATAATTTATATATATAGTTTATACTAATATATATAGAAAAAACAGATTTAAGTTTTGTTAAAGCAGGTGTTATTGTGAACACTACAAATTTTTATTTTTTTATACATAGATATGCTTTTATATGCAATTTAATGTGAAAAATGCCCAATATATTTTACCAACTCAGTGGGATAAACCGAGACAACTCATAATAACTCAACGGAGTGAGTTGGAATTGTCGGCAAGACGTTTTCGCTGTATATTAATCTTAATCCCATAATTACAAGGCATTCAGGCAAATTGAAGGTCATATATGTCATTTAATCTTCTGGCATCATGAACAACATCCTTGTTTGTTTGGTAATTGTACTTTGGGATCACATCTCTGCCACTACAAATCTTTTTATTTTAAAGACCCATTTTCTAGATAATTTATTTACCACCGCAAAGGACAAATCCGGTTTTGTTTTTCTTCAATTGGACCCAATAGTATCCGACGTTCTGTAACCATCATGAACAATGACTTCAATATATTGACATAAATATATACAATAAATAAAGAACAATAAAAGTCTAATAGGTTTACTTTTATCATTTATATTTCGAAAATAAAAAGTCTTTTAACAGGTCCATTTTTAATGATTCATGACCCAACTCAATAAATTCATCAATGGAGCAGTGAGAATCCTAGGATGATGAAGTAATTAAATCCCAATTATATTTATGAATTATAATTAATGTCCTAATTATGATTGTATATTGAAATCCCAATTATATTTGTGAATTATAATTAATGTCCTAATTATGATTGTATATTGAAATTTAATAGGATAAAGAGAAATATGAAGCCCAAATGATGCAAAAATCCCAAGAACATGTAGAAGAAGAAGAGAAGGAACAGTGCAGTCCAGTATCGGTATTGGACCCTCCATTTGAAGACGATAACAAGGAGCATGAAGGTGGGGATGAGGAAGACGGCTACGATCTCGAATGCAGCTATGCAGTTATACAAAGTATGTTACTAATTACATTCACACACACACACACACATATATATTTATAATTTTTCTTTTATCTATTATCTGTTAGGGTGTGCCTTTGCGTTACGGTATGGTTGTTTTATTGTAAACGGAACCTTACGAGTTGTATATCTAATCTTTTCAGACCTACAATGACGAGTGAAATGCTCTCCATTGTTTTCGATCTGAAGTATTATATTTGTTGAAGTGCTCTATCACCATAGATTGAAATGGTTATATAAATTTTGATTATGTTATTTTGGAAATATGAAATACTATTATTAGGATTGATAGAATGATAGGTTATGACTTGTATTATATACATGAAGTTGTGTTGATGTGATCTGTGTTTACGAATGAAATAGATTCCCGTGACTTGCTGTGGGACTCGAATTTAGGTGGTGGGGTTTTATCATTTAATGGTAACACAGTTCATCGTACTTCCCTTTTAATGTTTTTGTGACAGTAGCTTAAATTTAGTGGAACCCAGCTGAATTATGAGCTCAATGCCCTACCAATATGCTCTCAGAACTGCTTCATTACCCATTACACATCTCTGATTTTCCTTGTACTTTGATTATTCGGAAAACGATTACATATTCGATAATGGACCGTCTTGTCTTTTAAGTCTTTTTTGAGGGAGGAGAGATTATATCATTTGAACTAATGGTCCTTAAGTCAAATGTTCATCCTTTTGAACATGAATTAGGTTGAGTTTTAAACGTTTATTTAGTTGTATGATATCAATTTTTGTTTATGATGTTAGCTTATGAACAAAGCATGTAGCAATGGAGTAACTTTGATTTTTATTGCTAATTTTGTTGTGTTGCATTGAATTTTAGGGGCTAAGCAGCACCTATTACACAAGCTTCGCAGATTCGAGAAACTGGCAGGATTAGATCCTATCGAGCTGGAGAAAAAAATGTTAGAAGAGCAAGATGATGAGGTTGAAGAGGAGTGGGAAGATGATGATGAGGCTGAGGCACTCTCATTATGCAGAGAAGAAAATGTTAATGGGCTTCTCAGAGAAGTTCTTGGCAAATCGAGTCACCATCATAGTAAACTCTCGGCAGACATGAATAGACTGGTGTTGGACCTCATTGCTGAGGAAGAGAGGGAACAGGATGATAGCGAAGTGGTGGTGAAAAAGGTGTGTAAAAGGTTGGATTCATGGAAAGAGGTGGAATCTAACACCATTGACATGATGGTGGAATTGGATTTCAGAAGAGAGGTTGATGGGTGGAAGAAAAATCAGGAGGAGGTGCGAGAGACGGCAATGGAGATCGAACTTGCTATACTTGGATTACTAATGGAGGAATTGTCAGTGGAACTAGTCTGCTAACTGGATTTTGGAGGGAAACTTTTTGTAAAGTCTCTGTTCAATCTAAATGAATTTTGTTTAAATTTTATTTCTGTAATTTGTTTATTTGGTAGCTCACAGTCTGACTTGCAATGTTAAGAGGGTATAGGGTAGTTAGTAATATGAGAGCATGATAGTAGTGCATGTATATGCATCATGTATGTTGGAGGGGAAGGTGTATGTATGCAGTATGCTTAATGAGACCAGACAATTACAATACATACTTGCCCTCTTTTTATTCTGATGAGAAAGGAAGAGGTCTATTTGGGATTGTTTAAAAACTCACACATCTAAGTTGAGGAGTTCGAATTCTTTTGGGACCCTTTTTAAGAACATATATATTTTTTAATTTATAATTATCTGGTGTGCGTGAGATAGAAAACTTTGTCCGGTAATAAATTATGAGGTGCTATGACATAACCAATTTACCATCTCATTATTGTCTATAAATTTTATTTTATTTTATTTAAAAAAAACCATATTGCCACAACTAACTGTTTTCAAAAGCAAAAGCAACTGTGACCGTCTATTAGGAAATGTGCTAGGTGTTGTCTCATTTGAGGGTGACTTGACCGCCCATCCAACACTGCACTATTGAACAAATATAAGCCAAAGATGAACCATTTCATTTTCAATTTATATTACCTACTACTATTATATAATGAATTATAGAGCTTATGAAATTTACATAAGAAGAGTAAGGTGACAACTATCGTTGCCGGAAACAAATTTAAATATTAAGGGTAGGTATTTAATTTGTGGAAGAGTTTGGTTGCAGAAACATTCCTATGTACCCCTATGACTATGAGCTGTGATTATCTATTTTTTTGAATGCTCAACTAATATTAAAATTTAATTATTTTCGTAATTTATGTGTAATGTGTTCATTTGGTTCCATATGCAGAAATCATAGGAGGAATGGAATTATGGAAGGATGAATCAAAGGTTTTAAAACAACTTAATTAACTGGTGGTATATATAATCCACCTACTAAGGACTGGATAATTTAATATTGAACACTTTCATTTGATTTTTATGGAATGTTTTGTATAAAATTTGAAAACTATATATATATATATATATATATATATATATATATATATATATATATATATTTTGGGTAAGTTGCATATTGAGTTTACAATAATTTTAATCACATGATGAATGATTCTAATCATTCTAACAACCCTATTACAGCTTAAAGGCCAAGACTCCATTGGAAATCACTTCGTTACAAACAAAAGAGTGTAGAAAAAAGAAAACAAACTAATTGGTGGTTCTGATTATGATGCATCTTTAGATTCTAATCATTCAAACAATCCGTAACCAAAGTAGTGGGATTGGACTTTAATTGGTGCATTTTGTATCCGTTTGGACAGGCAAAGAAAAGTCCACAACTTCTTATCATTTCAGATAGAGAGAGGATTTGACAAGTGAATTGAATTCGTCGTATTTGTGGGTGATTGTTATAGTCTTATCTCTTCGGCACTCACCTCAAATAAATAAAAGACATACAAATACAATGATCTGATATGATAGAGAGGAGGACATACTCCAATAATCCATCAATACATATATATACATATACATACAGCACCACACCATTTCCCATCGCAGGTGCAAGAATTTGCAACTAAGGAAAACTTAAACCAAATACATTCAAGAATTACACTAATAATCAATTCATTTAATTGCTCGTTTCATGAGATTTTGTGCTTCATTACCAATGGCCGATCCACCTCTCGGGCTGCTTGGACTATCCACGTGGCACAGAAGTTGGTCATATGTCATGGTTCATCCAGCTGTCATGTTCTTATTCGTATAAAATTTTCCCCCACACATGGTAACAATTGATACGTACAATACAAATAAATAAATAAAACAAACCTTGATTGTTAATTATGAAGAGGGTTTGTTGTAAATTGATGACGTGATAACTCCAGGGATTGGCCTGGTTGAATAAAACTTTGGTCATGGTTTCTCATGCAACATCAAGTTCTATGATTCATTTATACTAATTGCAAACAATTCCAGCATAAAAGAAATTTGTCCCAATTCCTAGTGTCGCAAAACATGGAACTCAATTAGTGCCATTCTTGAATAAGCAATTAAGCATTGCTAGAGTTAGGCCTACTGGGTTAGGAACAAGGCCCATAAGTATCAAGTTTTGGGTTGTGGGCTCCATTCGCTGTCCAATATGAAGATGCTGTACAAAGGCAATGGTTTGTGGTAGAGGTGCACATGAAACCGGTTCTAACCATTGGTCTTATCTGATCCAATCCAATACATACATTAGAAAATACTTAAATGAAAGAAAAAAAAATTAATAAAAGTATAGGAGAAGATATAGGTTGTGAAAAAATATTTTATTACAATACTTAGATCCTCACCTCTTATGTAATCCAATAAAAATAAAACACCTCATTTTTGTTAAATAGGTCAAAAAAATAAATAAAAAATAAAAAATAAACTGGATCTTATCCGAATGAGATAAGGTAAAAAGGGTTCAATTTTTTTATTTTTTTATTTTTGGGTTAATTTCAGTAATAGCACCTCAGGTTTGGCCAAATATCAATCTCAAACATATTTCGAAAATAACCATCTGAGGCCCATTTTCACTTTTTCGTCATGGTTTCCTTTAAAAACATGAAAAAAGACAACTTTACCCCTAATTTTTTAATCACATTTATTTCAAATATCAAATAACCTAAATGACTATTATACCCCTAATTAAACTCCCACCTACCCACCACACTCCTACCAACACACTCTTGCCAACACACTATTTCTCTCTCTAGCCATCAATAAAGCCATTTTTCTAAATATGTAGAAGTGCTTTCCAAATATAGTGATTAGTCCTCGATAAGGGCACTAACTCACTGGGGGATTTGCTAGAGGTCTTCGCTTGAATTGTAGAAAGTGAAGAGCAGGAGGAAGAGGTGGTGTCGAATGCGGAGTTGCTTACCAGGATCAACCATTTTCGGTTTGAAGTTCACTAAGGGACGCTTCTGTTTTGAAGTCAATGTTAGATTTTGAAAATAATCCATCTTTATAATATTTTAAATTTATATTGGAGTATTATTTAGAACGAGGTGAAAATAATATTTTAAATAATAAAAAAAATAATTTATACCCACTTTCTGTTTGGTTCCCGAGAAAATTTTGGCCTAGCTTTTTTGGGTTGTCTAAAGGAAAAAAATAAAAGGAAGCTTTTCTTACTTAGTGTAGCCAGCCGGTCTATGGAGGGTGGGTTTCCATTGAGGAAGAAACGAAACCCTAGCTAAGACTCACAACACAAAGTTCTCTTACAAGTTTTGAGGGTTTCTGTGCTTTTTATGTATTCCGTTAGTCAAACTAATTGAGTTAGTCAAACTAAAGTCAAATGAGGGTAAACATGTCATTTGAATCATTAAAGAAACAATTTAGTGGGTCAAAGCAAAGACAAAGTGTAAGAATGTTTTTCTACATGTAAAAAGTGGTCAGGCACTCCTGTCAACTAACTTTTGGGGTGTGAGTGAAAAACGGAACAAACGTTTGTAATGTGAGTGATAGTTATTTTTGAAAGATATTTGAGAGTGATATTTGGCCAAACCTGAAGGGGTGTTAGTGAAATTATCCCTTTATTTTTTCTTTTTAGGGTTCAACAGTCTGGTTCTCTTTCCGGCACCCGAAAAGAGCATTCTCTTTTCGCCATCTTCCTTATCTCTCTACCATCTTCTTCCTCTCAAGTTTTTAGTCTTGGACATCATTATTTAATTGCCAAGTCTGAAGGATATGATATATATATATTTTTTTGTCCACAAATTTAGGATTCTTTTTTCTAGAAAGAGAGAGGAAGAAACAGATTAGATTGAGGGTTTTTATTTTACTATGTAGATTATTTTAAGTTCCAAATTTTATATGGAATTTACACACTTGCACACTATTAGAAGTGGCGACAACTCTTGTTTCAGTCTAGATTCAATGCTACCAACCAAAAAGAATTGAATGCTCTGTTCTTTTTGCAGCTTGATCGGGTTTGTGAAGATATTTCCGGGGGTTACACATGGGTAATTAGATTTGTAGGAATTAATGTTACCAAACAGTATGTTGATGTGTAGTGTCTATAAATTAAGGGGCTCAATTAATCAACAGTTTGTTCTATTATTCTTAAAGGAACATGTTCATTTTCTTTAATTGAATAAATAATGACGATTAGGACTAGAAACTTGAGAGGAAGAAGACGGTGGAGAGAGGGCTGAAGGCTGGTGCCGAAAAGAGCCCACACTTTTCCAAACCCAAAAAATAGAGATCCAGACGTTAAACCCTATAAATAAAATAAAGAAAAAAAAAAGCCCCTTTTACAGGATCTCATTCGGGTAGGATCCGGTTTATTTTCTCTTTCTTTATATTTTTGGCTTATTTAACAAAAGATGAGGTATTTTATTTTTATTGGACCACATAAGAGGTAAGGATATTATAGATCCTTACTAGTGAGGATCTAAGTTTGTCTCAAAATATTTTATCAGAAATAAATCTATTATAAGGGGTGAAGTGGGTAGTTCGATTGATAAAAGCACTCTTTTGAGTCGTGTATAGGGGTGGCAAATAAACGGGTTGGGTCGGGTTTGTGCAGGTCTAATATGGGCTGTGACCCATATTCAGCCCACTTGTTACGGGTTAAATATGAGTTTGGTCAAAATGAGCTGAGTCAAGAAAAACAGTACGTTGTTATTATTTTGGATAATCTCATTATTATAATTCTTGATTTTATATGGATAAAAGCTTATAAAGATATGTATATTTAATTGTAAATACTCTAATTTATTTTGGAAATTCTTTCAATTTATATTATTTTATTTTATGACTAGACATGTATGAAGGTAAATGTTATACATCAGAGAATACTTAAAAGAAAAAGAAAAAAAAAATATAGGAGAGCATATAGGCAGTGGGAAAAATAATTTATTAGAAATAAATCTATTAAGAGGTTAGTTGGGTAGTCCAATTAGTAAAATCACTCTCTTGAGTTCTGTGAGAGTTCAGGTTCGGCTCACCTTCCCCTCCTCT